ATCCACATCACAGCTTAGAATTTCCTAACGCAATTCACTCTATTGTACCTTTTTTAAAAAAATTATTTTTTAATGTGGGAAAACTCTTGGTTAGACCAGAAAAACCACAGATTTCCACACCAGATCCAAAAAGGAGGTCTGAGTAGACTTAGGAATTATGGTTAATTATTTGTGGTGTTTCTTATTAGTTTCTTGCCAGAGATGAAAATGAAAGCAACAGAGTATAACGAAGAAAAAATAAGAGCAGTTCAGTCAAATGGATATGCATTACTTTTGGAGGTAGAACAGAAAAACATAATCCAGGGTGGTTTGATGTTCATTCACTTAGGACCGTGATCGGCAAACTGAGGTTTGTGAGTCATATGCGGTTCTTTGGCCCCTTGAGTATGGCTCTTCCACAAAATACCAGGGCCTGGGCAAGTCTATTTTGAAGTGGCATCAGAAGAAGTTTAAGTTTAAAAAATTTTGCTCTCAAAATAAATTTCAATTGTTATACTGTTGACATTTGGTTCTGTTGACTTTGCCTACCACTGACTTAGGATAATAGAATGAACAGATCAAGGGATGCTTCATTCTGCTGACTTTGGCTCCAATTTGTGGGTCTTGACTGATAATAAAAGAAGGAATTGGAAACCATAGTTTATGTTCTCTGCATTGCCAGTATGGGAGTTAAACATTATCTTAACCCAAACTCAGCACTTATGAAATGGTCTGTTTACATTATGATAGACATATTTCTTAAATGGATTATCAAGTTCATATTTGGTGAGCATTTACTATATGTGAAGCATTGTAATATATCATTGACACATATCATCATATTTCATCTTCATGATTGCCTCATTTTCAGAGGTTTAAATAGGCTTAGTAACTTGTCCACTGTTGGACCAAAGACCATAAGTCTTATGAAACGCATTGTCTTATCTCCCTCACACTATTTTCTCACATGAAGAATATTACAAATTTACATAATTCAGACAAAGAATCATATAATAAATGTAGTAAACCAATGTGCAATAAATTGTACTCTATATAAAATACATACATATATGTTAACTCATTTAATCCTTACCAAATCCTACAGAAGCTATAAAAGTTACTATTTGTAATGTCTCTGTTTTACAGGAGGTATAAAAATTACTATGTATTTATAATGTCTTTGTTTTACAGACAAGAAAATTGGAATTTTGGGAAATCATGTGTTCCCTTACCCCCAATTTACATAGTTATTAAGTTGTATATAACTATTTTTTTTATTCCTGTCTAATCTATTTGGCATTAAACACCAACTGTCAGACACATAAAGAGAAAGAATTATATTTAAGGAAGGAGTTATAGGTTTGGGATCAAAGATCTGCAATAGGGTCAATGAGTCAAAGGATGGCCCTTAGTAATGTGTGAGGAATCCCTCACTCCTCTGGACCTCAGTCCTCATATCCAAGATGAGCAAAACACTATCTCCATCATAACCAATGAGACAATGAAAAGGGGACAAAGTGTGTGAAAGTACTTGGTAAATTGCAAATGTTATTTAGAAATAAGTCATTAAAAAAACACTAAATAGCATTAGAATTATTCCAATGGAGTAAATATTGTTTTACCCTCTAATCTTTTCAATAGGGTATTGATTCTCAAGTGAAGCATCATTAAAGGCTCATTGAATCTGGTTAAACCAGTTTAGGTCTTTTTGTTTCTGTATTTCAGTTTGATCTTCTTTGTCATGCGGGAGAAGTATCGCATGGAAACACTGGAAATCATAATTAAAGGTCCATCAAAATGCATTCTAAATTAGATCTTATTAAATATGTATTTAATACTTAAACTGCCCAACTAATTTACTTTAATGTTTTTTATTATTGATTTCGGAGAGAGGAAGGTTGAGGGAGAGAGAAATAGAAACATCAATGATAAAAAAGAATTATTGATGACCTGCATCCTGCATGCCCACCACCCCCCCCCACCCCTTCTGGGGATTGAGCCTGCAACCAGGGCATGTGCCCTGACCAGAAAGAACCATGACCTCCTAGTTCATGGGTCGATGCTCAACCCTGAACCACACTGGCCAGCTACTAATTTATCTTTATTAGTTGAAAATGTGAGTCATTTCAGAGAACATTTCTCAAAGCCATGTATGCCTTTTGATTTATTTAATTTTTATGCATTGGACTGATTTTCAAATAGTTAGGGTTGACACTATGGCTGGTTAAGCCATTCCCCAAGCTTCTCCTTTTCCTTTCTGAATCTCTTCAGCTTGGGCCATAGAGAGAACAGGGCAATTTATTGTTTCTGAGAATACAGCATAACCTACTTATGACCTGATTTCTATGCTCCATTGTCAGCAGTAAAGACCATGGATAGGGCACTTACAGAAGCACAGTGACCTGTTTTGGGCTCTTTCATGGCTGGTGGCCTCCCTCTCTCCCTGATTGGCAGATCCTTTGTAGTATCTTGTGGGCCAAACAAAAATTGGCAAAGTTTTAGTGAACAGACCTTCCTTGAGATTCTGAGTGAATATAGGACAGTGAGAAAACACACACAAAGTATATCATTTTTACAAATGCAAATAGGTGTTGGACAAAGGGCAATATGCTCAAAGAGTTGCTGGTCAAAAAGAACAGTGACGGTGAAAGTTAGAACCTCAGATATAGAAACAAAGTTGGCAGGGTGTTCCTTCTTCATTTTCGCTCTCATCTTTCTCAAGATGAACTTTCTTCATTTTCATTACTAGAGAGCAATTTTCTTCCCTGTTTTCACCTATCAAGAGTCTAAAGTCCGGGACACCATAGCTCACTGTACTGCTGTTCAAAGGAAGACAGGTCAAGAAATGAGAAAAGGTCTTTTTAACAAGTTAAAAAAGTATTACATGTGAATAGAAAGCAATCAAAAGATACAGAAGGTCATAATACAAAAAGTATAAACCTTGGTCTCTTCAGCCACTGTTTTTCTTTTTTTAAAATATATTTTTATTGAATTCAGATAGAAGAATGGAGAGTAAAAGAGAGATAGAAACATCAATAAAGTGAGAGATTCATTGATCAGCTGCCTCCTGCACACCCCTACTGGGATCGAGTCTACAACCAGGACATGCATCCTTGACCAGAATCAAACCTGGGACCCTTCAGTTGACAGGCTGATGGTTTATCCACTGAGTCAAACCATCTAGATCAGCCAATGGTTTTAAATACAGACAATAGAGATAAAATTTTTCCTATTCCTCTTTATGGCAATGTGTATGTATATGTGTTCTTGTTATCTAAATGACACCTTATTCTGTACAACCATTAAGAAATTGAGGGTTGCCCTGGCTGGTGTGACTCATTGGGGTGAAGTGTCTCTCATATACCAAAAAGTAAGGGGCTCAATTCATTGACAGGATATATACCCAGGTTGTAGATATGAGAGGCAACTAATTGATGTTTCTCATGTCAATGTTTCTCTCTCTCTCAAGTCAATAAACATATCCTCAGGTGAGGATTAAAAAATATTAAAGGTGATTACATTCAGATGCCATTCATTTATTTAACTATTTATCTTTCTGTATCATTTTGTATCTAGTTTTTTCATGGCTGTATAGAGCAATGGACTATTTTAATCATTAAAATTAACAGATAACATTCATAATAGTTTAATATTTTAATATTTGTACAATGTAAAGTCTTCCATGGTATGAAAAATTCTAATTTATTTTATAATTTCACCATTAATAGACATTAGTACATTTATTATTTGTCATTGTTTTATTTGTTTCCTATGTAATTACTTCTGTACCAATTATGCCTCAAGATAGGTCCGTAGGTATGGATACTAGTAGTTTTACAGTTTTGACATTTCCTCTCACCATGTTGAAATTGTTCTCACAGCAAACTATCCATATCACAGAATATCATCTTGGCTTCTCAAAACCACTTGACCATTGTGATTGGAAGCAATGCTTGCCTTCCCTTCCTCACTTTTCACCTAACCCTATCAATTGTGTCCCTGTACCCCAAGCACAGAGTTTTAATCATAGGCAGTTCTTTCCTATCCCTGGGGTGGGGCTCAGAGCATTAACTAACCCAAATGCCTCATAGATTATAGACTGGGGTTAGATGAATTAAAAGTCATTTTGTACTGGGCCTTTTACAATTCATCAGTTAGCTCCGAGAAACAACAACAGAGACCAAATTCTGGACAGTCAAAAACTTCAGATTCATGGTTCCTGGCTATGATACGGGATCAGGCATCCCTCTAGGAGCAGGCAGAGATCAGGACTGGATCTGTAGAGATACTTAGTAATGGGCAAAGCTTGTTTTGACACCACGCTCACCAAACTACATTGCTGAAAGTTTTAGCTGACCCACTCAAACTAGTCTCATTGACTGAAAGCAAAATGTGTGAAGCTCAGTATTATTAGCTTACTATAAACTGTTGCAGGACCAAGCCACAAAGGAAATATTTATCTGCAAGATAACATTAAATAAGAAGGATGCTGACCACGAGGGCTTATTCCTTTTAAGGCTTGTGCTTTGCAAGATAAACACACACACACACACACACACACACACCTCACATACACCTCTACTCAGTTTTTGCTACTTCTAAGGGTAGATGTTTGAATAAGAATATATTTGAGGGGGCTACAATCCTTGCATTCTTCCTGTCCCCAAAAATTCTTGCAAGGCACAAAACTGGAGCTTCTCCATCGTCATCGTTGTGGCCTCGAATGAAAGCCTTGTCACTAGGCGGGGGCGGGAAGGACCGGAGCGCAGCAGTAGTGACAGCATCTGAATTCCCTCCTCTGCCGGCGATTGGTTGGAAACGAGGAGGCCGCGGCCGGCCCCCTGCGGCTGGACTCGCCATTGGCTGGGAAGGGGTGCCAATCAAGGCGGACCGAGACCACTGCGCTCCTTCCAGTTCTGCGCTGCCGCCGGGGTCCTGTTGCGCCGTCGCCTCCGTAGCCCGGGTCCCTCCGGCCGCGCCTCTCCGCGGGGGCCTCCTCCCGCACCCCGGGCGCAGACACCATGGTGAGTCCCTCCCGCCGGGGGTCAGGCCGAGCCCGCAAACCTCAGCCGGACCGGGCCCGGGAGCCCCCGCGAACCGCCCGCGCCACCGGAGCTTGGCGCTGGGCCCCGGGAGCGCACGGAGCACCCCCGCCGTGTGCCCGCGTCCGGAGCGGAGGGGATGGGAACGCCGGAGGGGAGCGGGCGCGGCGGGGGGCAGGGGGTCCCCGGTGCCGCACCGCACCGTGCTTTCCCGAGCTCGGGAACGCGACGGACGTGCCGCCGAGAAGCGGGGCTCTCTCGGCTCCGGCGGGCCCTGCGGGTGCGGGAGGCCGGGAGCCGCGGTGCGGGAGGTGCGGGTTCGCCCCCTCTGCCGGGCTCCCCCGCTGCCCAGCCCGCCGCCTGGCCGTGACAGGTGAGCGGGGGGAGGAAGTTGGCACGGGGGTGGGGAGGGCGGTGATGGGGAGGGTCTGCCCTCTATCGGTGGCGTGGGGGGATCCCCCCTTTTTTAAGAGGAGAGTACCCCGCGTAGGTAGGACCCAAAGTTAGAGCAGCCCAGGGCGGTACTGCAGCCTCGTCCCCTGTCCAGCCGCCCTGACGCCCAGGCTCCCTCTGCCCGCAGTACGGCTTTGTGAACCACGCGCTGGAGCTGCTGGTGATCCGCAACTACGGCCCCGAGGTGTGGGAGGACATCAAGTAAGTGGAGGGGCCGGAGGGTCCTCAGGGCCCCCCATCCCCACCCCGGAGCTGCCCCCGCTGCTGGATTCATCCTCCGCTCCCTGCCCCGCTCCTTCGCGGACGCGGAGGGCAGCGAAGCCTCCGCCCGCCGCTCCCGCCGCAGCTGCGCTCCCACGCCCCGGCCGGACCCCGGGGGAGGAGGGGGAGGGCGGGGAGGGCGGGGAGGGCCAGAGCCGGGAACAAGGGGAAGGAGCCTCCGGGTCAGCGCGGCCTCCGGGCCCGCCCGGGCGTGGGAACGGCTGCCCGCGCCGGGCGCTCCCAGGCTCCGCGGGGCCTGCAGCTCCCACGCGGGGAAGGGCCCCGGGGACCCCTGAGGCCGCCGCCGCGTTCCAGTTCCCAGAGAAACCAAGGGGAGACCCGGCTCCTTGAACGTGTCCCCACACCTCGCAGACATACACAGAGTGAGTTTCACCATGCTAAAACTGGAGGCTAGTTCGTGAGCCACAGTGACTCTCACGTGCATTTATTAGTGTTTAAAAAAAAATTATATATATATATATATATATATATATATATATATATATATATATATATAATTGATTTTTTTTTTTTTTTTTTTTTTTTTTTACAGAGAGGAAAGGAGAGGAATAGAGAGCTAGAAACATCAATGAGAGAGAAACAGCAATCAGCTGCCTCCTGCACACCCCCTATTGGGGATGTGCCCGCAACCAAGGTACATGCCCTTGACAGGAATCGAACCCGGGACCCTTGACGCTCTATCCACTGAGCCGAACTGGTAAAGTGTAATTGGAATGTTTGCCCTTTCATTTTCCCCAAACTACCCTCCTCCCCCATCACCACACACACCCTTTCTGCTTCCAATCTGGTGGAGGCTGTCAGTTGCAGGAGGGCACCCTGGTTTCAGGCTAGCACTGTGAGCCCAGGACTTCTGATGTGACGGAAATACCAGACACCTGCGAGTTTAAACCTGTTGAAAGGATGTGGTGGGTGTCTCTGTGGCCGTATTGTGCATTTCGTTTTAACAGGGGTCTTTCCCTTTGTCCTAGTGAAATATGCATTTAAGCTATCGCATTGATGACCAAAACCAACTAGCTACAGCAAAACCGTTATTTGTGGATTTTCATAGTGGAACAGCCATCTAATCTGTCACGTTAAACGAGGCGGAGGGTGTGGTTACCTGGGTGGGTGGGCAAAGGAGAACACAATGCTACCCGTGTTTCCCCGAAAATAAGACATCCTCCGAAAATAAGACCTAGCGCAACTTTGGGAGAAAAAATTAATATGATACTGTCTTATTTTTAGGGAAACAAGGTATTAGATACTTCTTCCTGATTTTAGTGTATCAAGTAGGTGATGCTTTCATGCTATTTCTCTACCCCCTCACACACCAATACATTATACTTATTAGGAATTGGGCTTATTATACAGTTACACGATAGGGATTTTTTATAAATATGTTTCCATGGAAATGACCAGGGTGAAATATGAAATATCAAAATGCAACTTTTCCTTCCCTTGGGTCTGTATCAATGAGCATCGTTTCACCATCCATAAGCCATGTTTATGTTACCCAGAGAGCACACCTACATATTAAAAACGGAAGTGGAGGTTTGGCAATTATGCAGTAAAATCAAATGAGAATCTTGACACTAAACTTTGAGATTTGAATTTTCTGTGAATCTTATTAATGACTTCAGAATTCTTATTTTGCTTAGTGGACATGTATATGGAAGATATCTAGAGCAAGATTTTAAACAATGTAACAAGTATAGGAGTATTCTTAAGCTGCTTTCTTTGTAAATTTATGAAAACATGTTGTTTTCTCATGTGTAAGTTACAAATTCCCAATTTTTCTGGTGGATATGCTATGAGAATGAATACAGTTAGAATTTTGAGAGCACAATAAAATATGGTTATATGGTTAAACAGTAGTTATGCATTTTAACCAAACTTAGAATGTATCCTACCCATTATCAATTTAGATTACTGTTAAATATAGAGATGGAAAATTATACATCGTAGAGAAAAGTATCAAAATTTTTTAAATTAAATAATCAAGTTATTTGCTTGTATTGGCTATGTTTTCCCCAGAGAAGGTCAAAATATCTAAATATATACAATATATACTGATGTGAAAACTTAATTCTGCCAAATCACTAAGAATATTGGTACATTCTACTTTGAAAAACTATAATTTTAAATTAAATGTCCTTTTAATGCCCTAATGTATCTCTAAATAGCTTTAAACAGTGTTCTTAATCTATTCAAATGTTGACAATTTAAATTATTCCAATACCTTTTTATGTTAAAATGAAACAAAATATATGGGTGTTTTTTAAAAAAAAAGATATATATATATATATATATATATATGTATATATATGTATATACTTTTATCAGTTTCATCGAGGAAGGGAGAGGGAGTGAGATAGAAACATCAATGATGAGAATCATCCACTGCATCCTGCACGCAGGATGGAAATCACTGGGTCAGGTGCCCTGATGGGGAATCTAACCATGACCTACTGACTCATAAGTTGATGTTCAACCACTAAGCCATACCCAGCTGTTTCTTTTTTTAAATAAAATTATCTCAAGGATTATGTGCCCTTAAAAGGGAAATACTGTTAGTTAAACTCGCCTTTGCAATCCAGGTGTTCATTTTGATTATTTTTTTCCCAAACGTACTTTTTGATGGAGCTCATTTGTCTTGGGCACAGTTTAATCTGGACCAGAGCACATAGTTCAGGGAAGCAGGTCATTGATTTCCAACTCAGTTAGTACCACTGAGGGATTATTACTCAGAGCTCCCCAGAAGAACATGGACCCATCCAAACAGATTCCCACCACATGGGGCAGGTGAATAGTTGGAGGAATTTAATTTTAAAATGCTCCTTGGAGAGATTCTGATTCCCTTTTCCAGACCTCACCCTCAGCTCTAAGGAGGATCACTGTAGTCAGTGGTGCAAGATACTTTCAGTTTCAACTTCTTATGAAAAACTGAGTATATGAAAACATATTGTTTTGTCTCATTAAGTACCAAGCTCCTCTATCTTAATTTTTGGTCCGTGAGAAACTGTCTACAGTGATGTCTCTAAAATTTACATAATACTTTTTTGATTTAGTAGGAAATGGCCATCCATTCTTCATGAGAAAGGATGCCAAATATTTAATGGCAAATAAAATCCTAAGTAACAGATTCCAGACAGAAAGTTCTAAGTGGGTAAGAGCCAAAAATGCTTCATTATAAACTCAGCATCTACTTACACTCCCACCAATGTAACCATTTCTCAAGTACTTTAAATTCCCCTTTTTAAGAAAAAAATAAATAGTCTAGATGGCAGGTAGACAGTGAAAGGTCTGATAGTAAATATTTTAAGTGCTGGAGGCCAAGAATCAATATAGAGGATATTATGTAGGTGTCTATATAACTATTAAGAGGTAACCATTTTAAAATGTAAAAAGTGCCGAAACCGGTTTGGCTCAGTGGATACAGCCTCGGCCTGCAGACTGAAAGGTTCCAGGTTCGATTCGGTCAAGAGTACATACCTTGGTTGTGGGTACATCCTTGGTAGGGGATGTGCAAGAGGCAGCTGATGAATGATTCTCTCTCATCGATGTTTCTAACTCTCTATCCCTCTCTCTTCCTCTCTGTAAAAAATCAATAAAAAATATATAAAATAAAATAAAAATGTAAAAAGTATCCTTTGCGCTAGGGCCAGACAAAAACAGGTAGCGGGCTGAATTCGACCAAGTGATTATAGTTTGTCCACGCCTGATCTAGACCGTACGTACATGTTAACAAGTAAAAGAGATCTCTGAGTCTACTTCAAGTATTTTGTTGGTTTCCTTTCACTTTTCAGATGGTTCTTTTTTGGAAGTCACGATTCTTAAGGGAAGAGAAAAACCAATCTTTATTTCAGAAAGAAAAAAAAAAATGAAGTCAAGACATACATATTAGAACAGAACCTAAATACTTGATCTAAGCAACTGTTACCTTTTCATTAGCCCTGGCAAAACTCATCATTGGATCAAATTACTGGATTTGATTTTAGGTTTTTTTTTAACTTCACTGGAACATAAAGATGGATTCAAATTTTTTAAAAAATATAGGATGATTAAATATCTATTAAAAACAAACAAAAACACCTTTGTAAAAACTAGTATTTTGCCTATAGTTGAGCAGACCAAGGAACAAAAACTGACGTGAAATGCCTAAGTGCTACACAGTATATTCCTTAGCCCTTCTCTGTTTTACTGAAAGATCAGAGATAAACATTGGGATCAAAATTTTGGTATAGATTTAAAAATAATATAATGACATTGATAGTTGACAAATACTGGAGTAATTACCTCTAGAATCTGTCAATTATCATCGTTGTATAAAGATTACATATACAAGAATATAATGAACAATATAAACTGGTGAACAAAAACAGATCCAGAGACAGAGAAGCATTGATCAGACAGTCAAAACTCAAAGGGAAGGAAATAATCTTCCCTTTCTCTACATTTATACTCTTAGGGACCTCATGTTCCATTCATTCAGTTTCAATAATTCATTCATCAAGTATTTTTTGAATACATAAGTTGAACTGAAGAAAGTACTGCAAATCTATTAAGAAGCAACACAGAAATCCTACACTTAGAGAATTCTAAAGCCGCTCACATACAAAAGTTTAAAATCTATATGTCAACTGAAATGGCAATTGACTATCTAGAATGCAACTTGTTTGTAACCCATTAAATCACATTTAAGCAAAAAAAAAAGATTACATATACATTTAGTATGCTTATATCTAATTTACCTATAGTAAGACAGGCATTTGTTGATTCATTCATTCTTTCATTTTCTAGTTAATCTTATTTTTAAAGAGCATAGTCTGTGTGTTGGACTTGGAAGATGGAAAAGTGAATGATATAATCATGTGGGAGCACTTGGTCCTCGAACCCACACACACTTCTGAATCCTGCACACAGTGCCAAGTGCAGAGCAA